AAAATTCAGATGGAGAGGCTTGAAAAGTTGTAAATCCATTGGGTCTCTTTGGAAGTTAATACAGAGTATTCATTCATTCATTCATTCATTTATGAGAGAGCGTGCTTGTGCCTGTGTGGGGGGTGGAGGAGGGGCAGAGGGAGAGGGAGAGAGAGAATCCCAAGCAGTCTCCACGCTCAGTGCAGAGCCAAGGTGGGCCTCGATCTCACGACCCTGAGATCATGACCTGAGCTGCAATCAAGAGTCGGACACTTAACCAACTGAGCCACCCAGGTGCCTCAATACAGAGTATTTAAATTACTACTGGTAATAGCATATTTGTTATTTTTATTCTTCGCCGTGCCCCACTAGGGATTAACAGAATGTAAACCTTTTCATCAGTGGTATCTTAAGATTCTTAGATATTTGTTAAGAACTTAGGGTCACTTAAATGCACCTGCATGCATTTGTGCCACTCAGAATATGACAGATGTAACAAATTAAGATGAAAATTGCTTAAAAAGCCTTATAGTTAATGCAGCACCCCCATCCCCCTTCCTCACTTCTGTGTCTCTTCCCATAACCAGGGTCCTCTATCCATCTGGGGGCGGGGGGAGGTTTCAGGCTCCCCACCCAGCAGGAGCAGGCCCTGGAGTGCCAGCCTTGCATCCAGAAGGTCCTCCAGGGACTCTTTCACATACAGGGTTAGCCCATTTGCTAAATTGCAAACTAAAACCGCTCAAGGTAAGGACCTTTCCTCTTAAGACAAGGGTACTCAGCCAGCCAGTCAGCAACGATTATTTGCTGAGTCTGTGAAGTGCAAAATACTATGCTGGGTTATAAAGTGGGTTCAAAAGGTGTACAATGGCCCTTGACTCCAGCCAGGGAGTCAAGATAGGCTCTGGAAGAAGGTACCATTTTGAGGCAATGCATGATTAGGAGCCAGTGTGGCTCAAATAAGCATTTGTTACACTATGCCCAAGGGTAGTCGCTCCTCAGGGTTGGCCCGGCGTGGGAATGGGGGAGGCAAATGCAGCAGCCTTCCAGGAAGAAACTAAACACAGGGGCTTTCCTATGAGCATGTCATATTTGTCAGCGGCATGATCTTTCCTCTCTTACTGTCTTTCAACTGGAAGGACTCTGGATGCTTCTCTGATCGTATGTGTTTCAACTGGAGTTCACATGTTGAGCCTACCCAGGCCTGGGAAGTTTAAGGGAGACAGCTTACGGTGATCACTGGGCAAATAAAAACCAGCAGTGGAGAAGCACTGGGAAGTTGGTGGTGCGTGGAGAAGCAAAGAGGCCATAGGTAGAGAAATCTAGTTATGCTCTGTGGAGGATATATGTGGGTGTACGTAGTGCTGGGTGGGAGGCTGTTGACTAGCAGTCGGATCTAATGCCAGACCTAGGGGTCTTGATGGGAATCCACAAAGGAAGGGAGCTCCTTAGGCAGCGGCAGCAGAGGGATAGAATTTGAGCTGGGTGTCGAAACCTAGAGAAACAGAAGGAAAAGGAAGCCATTGGCCCCTGAGTATAAGCTGTGGGAGGTCTGAGCAGAGATCTCTGACTTCTGGTGTTTCTTCCCCCGGCAGAGTCCACATCAATTTTCAGACAGATCTGGGAAACCATCATATTTGCAGGTACCTAGGGAGAGAGTGTGTTGTTGCTGTTAATGTATAATTTCCACAAATTACAAATATAATTCCCATAAAGATACAAAATGAACATGTCAAAGTTTTATTTGACCCATCAGTGGAGGAAACCAGTGAGATGGTAAACTGATTCAAAGAGTATTTGAGGAACTGGGTATTTATAGGCTTAAAAAACAAGGATAGATTAAGATTGCTAGGTCATACGTAAAACTGGGTAATGCCCTACAGGGTAATAAAACTGTAGTCTTTAAGGTTTTCCTGCCATTCAGAAATCTAGAAGGTAACATGTAACCTCACAGTGTCTGCGTTCTAATCAGATAGTAAATAGTCAAGTCAAACACAAGGATATTCTCCTAGAGAATGAGAGAATTGCTGGGAGGAATTGTTCAACAATGCTGCGGTATGACCGTGAGAAGACACTGTTCCCTCCTCTCCCCCTCTCCCCCCACCGCTCCTGCCCAGCTGCCTGAGTTCCAGGTTGTGCATAGTTTGGTCATTAAAAAAAATAACTGGGAGTTGAAGATCTGAGATTGAATCCCAGTTCCTTCCCTTACCAGCTGTGTAGTATGGGTCAGGTAATTACCTATGATTTACCTGGATTTACTTGCTATGAATGGGGAGGAACAAGTGAGATAACTTTTGTAAAATTCCTGGCACGTGATAGGCGCTCGATCAATCTTAGTTCTTCTCTTTACCTTTCTTTTTTTTATATATATGTAAAATTTTATTTATTTATTATATATAGAGAGGGAGAGTGCCTGTGAGCAAGGGGAGGGGGCAAAGGAGAGGGAAGGGGGAAGAATCTCAAGCAGACTCCTCAATGAATGGGAGCCTGGGGCTGGGCTGGGTCCTGTGACCTTGAGATCACAACCTGAGCCAAAACCAAGAGCCAGATGCTCAACGGAGCCACCTAGGTGCCCCACCTTTCCTCTTTTTAAATGGAAAACATTTTTCACCTTTTGGCTGGCCTTCATAGATGAAGTTCTCTCTCTCTCTCTCTCTCTCTGTCCCTCTTTCTCATCTCTAGTTTATTAGAATAATATCCTAGAACTCTGGTAGATTTTCTCCGTTCCTTTTTTTTTTTTTTTTTAGATTTTATTTATTTATTTGAGACAGAGACAGAGAGAGAGAGCACAAGCAGGGGGTAGTTAGCAGAGGGAGAGGGAGAAGCAGACTCCCTGCCGAGCAGGAAGTTCGATGCAGGGCATGATCCCAGGACTCAGATCATGACCTGAGCCAAAGGCAGATGCTTAACTGACTGAGCCACCGAGGTGCCCCTCAATTGGTCATTTTTAATAGTGGCCAGAGAAGCATCTTTTTACTCTTGGCTTAGGTTCTTTTGCTTCAGGACTAGCTCATTTCTCTTCTACTAGTTGGTTTATGAGCTTCTGCTTTTGCTGCAGGAGAGTGCGATTAAGATTGAATTGCCCTTGACTATACCTACCTCCCAATGTAGTAGATTAATGGGTCAGGGATCCTAAAGTCTGAACTTCTTTTTTTTTTTTTAATTAAAAAACATTTTTTTAAGTTTTTTTTTTTTTTAAGATTTTATTTATTTATTTGACAGACAGAGAGAGAGAGAATACAAGCAGGGGGAGCAGCAGGGAGAGGGAGAAGCAGGCTCCTACTGAGCGGAGAGCCTGACATGGGGCTTGATTCCAGGACCCTGGGATCATGACCTGAGCTGAAGAGAGACACTTAACCGACTGAGCCACCCAGGAGTCCCTTGAAGTCTGAACTTCTGCCACTATTTACCGTGTTGTTTCTTCTTAGTGTTTATACACTTTTTTTCTTTCCTGCCTAAATGTAGAGCTCGATGTAGTCTAAACATTGTTTAGTATCAATTGTCACACAAGGGAAAAGTTCTATAACCCTCTTTCCTCATTTCTGCATCATAGCTGGAAATGAGATGATGTAATCAGTGCCTTGATAGCCTGAGCTCAATTTACTCATTCATTAGGCAACATGTATTTATTGACCAACTACTCTGCCAAGCCTTGGTGATTTTTCTGTAGACATAATAAGTAAGAATCTGCTCTGATGGAGACAGACTATAACCGAGTAAGTAAACAAGATGATTACAGATTTTGATAAATTTTATAAATGAAATAAATCAGATGATGAGAAACTTTAAGCTACTAGTCTTAGTAATTTTAATTGAGGTTATTAGAGACATTCTCTTTCTGAGTTGGAAATAGAAGGATGAGAATGAGTCAGCCACAGGAAGAGTTGAGCGGAGAGCATTCTAGGAAGGAGAGCATGATGAAGAGAGGTGTGGAATGAGTTTGGCTTGTTCAAGGAACAGAAAGAGAGACTTGCACATGAAATGGGGTGAGCCAGGGTGCAGGTCGGTGGAGAGGTGGTCAGAAGGTGGTAGAGCCATCTAGGGCTCTGTAGATCATGGGAAGGAGTTCGGGTTTTTTTTAAGTGCAATGGAAAGCTCATAAAGAGGCCTATGACAGTGAAATGGCACCAGCTTATGAAAAGAAGAGAAAGAAAAGAATACAGCTGTGTGAAAACTCGGATGGAGGGTGTCAAGTTGCGTGGGAGTGGGGACACCAGTGAGTTCCTTGTGCTTGGGTTTGGTGGTGGTGGCCAGATGTAGGGAGAACGATGCTTTGAAGATTGGACTAGGTTATGGAGAGTCCCAAATATCTGAATGAGAGCGTGCATTTGATTTTTGCAGCTATGAGGGAGCTTTGTGTGTAGGTAAGTTTGTGAGTGGATGTGTATTTGCAAGTGTGTGTGTGTGACTGTGAGTTTGAGTGGGTGTTAGTGTGTATCAGTGTGAGGTGTGTGTGTTTGTAAGTGCGTATGAGTGTGTGTGCGTGTGTGTGTGTGCGCACTTGAGTTTTTTCCTGCTGTAGCTTTTGAATGGGCAGGCCAGTGGCATGAAGGAAAGGGCTGCCTTTGTGGTAAAGATTAACTGGGACAAAGTTGGTGGCAGGAAGACTAGCCAGGACGTTAGTGGAGCTGGATGTGAAAGGAAGGCCTAGAGGATGCTAACTTGGCCATGGAGTAAGAGAAGACTAAATTGGGCAAATCCAGTTGTTGTTTTATTCTGTATCTGGATGAATGAGACCAAGAAGTGAAAAATAATTCCATTAAGGAAATCACACTCTTCAAATTAGCCCAGTGTGATTGCTAGTTTTATCTGTCTTAATTATTTAAAAAAAATTAAACCTCACTAAAATTCATTTGCTTGATTTCTCTGGAAGACAGCCCGTTAGTAAAAGTTGAGTGAATCTACTGCATCCCACCCAGATTGTCCCCTAACCCTCGCTCCTGCAGTTATGTACATACTCATTTTGTCTACATTTGGAGTTCTTAATTCTTGAGAAACTCATTGTATTTTTTGTTCCCCTCTAGGACATCTTTGAAGATGCAATGGAAACCATCTCTATGTAAGTAGTAACATAATAAAATATAGTAAAGAAAAATTGATGGTTCTCTTATATAAAATGTGTAAATATTTCTTCCTTACTCTTTGAGAGTTGTGACTACTGCCAAAAAGAAATCAGTTCTGTAATTCAAGAGTTAGGATGTGATAATGCTTAAGAAAGAATCTATCTAACGTTACTAGCAAATATATTTTTGAGTATTATTTCTTGTAACCTTAATTCAACTAAAAAGAAATGTTTTCCAACAAATTTAATTTTATTTGTTTATACCCAACCCTATGACATCTTGTTCATGTGTTTTTACATGAGTAACCTCATATTGTGGAATTTCACTTTTGGTGTGCACTTAATTTTATTACAAGCATATCCTGTAAGTCTGCATAGTTTTTGTACTGATTTTACATGATACCCTATTAGATCAAGTGGAACACCACAATTATCCATTTCTCCTTTGTTAGACATTTAGGTTGTTAACCAGTTTAAAAACTTAAAACTAAGTAATGAGTATTTTCATGTATATAGCTTTGTCATGTTTTTTAATTATCTCCAAAGATTAACTTCATGGATGTAGGATTACTGGATTAAAAGGGATGGAGATTTTTATTGCACTTTATACAATATTTAAAAAAAAAAAAGATTTATTTATTTATTTTAGAGAGAGCCCGAGTGGGAGGGGCAGAGGGAGAGGGAGAGAGAATCCAAAGCAGACCCTGTGCTGAGTGCAGAGCCTGATGGGGTTTCAATCCCACTTGTAGATGGCTGCCATCTCTTAGGTCTTCACATGACAGACAGACAGACAAACAGAGGCATCTTCATACAAAGGCACTAATCCCATCATGGGAGTCCCATTCTCAGGATGTCATCTAAACCTAATTTTCTCCCAAAGGCTTCATCTCCAAACACCATCACAGTGGAGGTTAGGGCCTCAACACATGAATTCTGGGGGACACAATTCAGTCCGTAACACTTTCAAAAGAGTTTTATCAGTTTATGTGGTTTCCAATACTGTGTAAGTGAAGTGGTTTAAAATGTAGAATCACAGGGCGCCCGGGTGGCTCAGTTGATTGAGCGTCTGACTCTTAGTTTCTACTCAGGTCTTGATCTCAGGGCTGTGAGATCGAGTCCCACATCGGGCTCCAAGCTCAACAAGGAGACTACTTGAGATTCTTTCTCTCCCTCCCCCTCTGCCCCTCCCCCTGCTCACACTTGCTTTCTTTCTCTTTCTCTCTCAAATAAGTAAACAAATCTTTAAAGAAAATAAAATTTAGCATCACCACTGGGTGCTATTTGAAATGGTTTTGCTACTCAAGTAATAACTAAGTGCTTAAGTTTTTAAAATTTTTCTTTATTACCATTGTTTACCACATTGTAGTTCCTTTTATATAAGTTCTAGTCTTACATGCTTAACTTTTTCTCACTGTCTCTCTTACATACTTATGAACTTTAAAACTTTAATCTTTTGTTATATTTGCTTCAGGTGTTTTCCCTAATTGCTATTTTTCTTTATGTTAGTTACAAATTTTTATGCTGTCCAAAAATTTTAATGTTTATATTGTTGAATGTTTGTTTATGTGAAAAAGAAAAAGTTGTGATTAGGACTAAAGAAAATAAGCTCTTTATTTTGGAACAGTTTTAGATTTATAAAATTATTGTGAAGATAGTACAGAGAGTATTTGGAAATGGACTTGAATTAGTCATAAATGGATATTGCAAATTCTAGGGCAACCACCAATATAACTGATATGTAAGAAGGAGAGAAAATGAAATTATATAAAATACTCAATTAAAATCACAGAAGGCAGAAGGCAGACCAAAATAGGAACAAAGAACAAGGGCAAAAAATAGAAAACAGTAATAAATATGGTAGATGCTAATCCAGCCATATTAATAATCACTTTGAGTATCAGTGGTCTATATGTATCAATTAAGACAGAGATTGTCAGCATGGGTCAAAAACATGACCCAACTACTTGTTGTCTATGAGAAACGCACTTTAAATATAAAGACACATATAGATTAAAAGTAAATGGATGGAGAAAAATATACCATGCCAACTCTAATGAAAAGAAAGCAGGAGTAGCTATTAATTTCAGACAGAACAGACTTCAAAGTAAGGAAAGTTATCAGAGATAAAGAAGGGTATTACATAATGATAGAAGGATCAATTCTCCAGGAAGACATGACAGTTCTAATGTGTATGAGTCTAACAACAGAACATCAGAGTACATGAGGCAAAAACTAATAGATGACTCTGCTACCATAGTTGATGACTTCAACGCCCTTCTCAGAAATGGACAGATCCAGTTGGCAGAAATCAGTAAGGGCATAGTTGTACTAAAAATGAAAACTACCCAAACGAAACCCCTGAACTTAATTAACATAACTGGATTTAATTTAGATCCATATCTCCTGCTAACCCTAAAATTGCTAGCCTACTATTCCAACACCATTTGCTGTTTGTGAAAGAAAGAAAATTTATGTATGATGCTTCCTTTATCAAATAAATTCATTAAAATAATGGTGCTCTGTTTCTGGGCTTTCTGTTGTGTTCATTTCATCTGTGTGTCTGTGTCTGCATAAAAATTGCTCTTTGTTCAACTGTTTTAGGTGTTTCAATGTTAGTATGACTGGTTCTTAAAAGAACAGTGTCCCAACAATGACCCCTGTGATGGTGATGCTTTTGAACACTACTGTCTAGCATTTTATTTTCCATTCATTGCCTCTTTCAGCCTCTCTTGGGCTGTATATATCCACCAGCATTTTCTTTTCTTCCTTTAATTTTTACTTCCCTGTCCTGCTCAGGTTAGCAAACCCAAAGTTTTACCCGTTCTAGAATTTATCTTGCTCTTTTAGATTTCTGGTGTGCATTATTTCTTGTGTCCCTGAAAACAGTTTCTTAAAGAGTTTGTTTCCTTTTTAATGTTGCCAAAATGTCCTTGGGACATGTTCTTGTATGTAGCAACACATTATAGTAATATATCACCAGATATATCCTGGTAATACATCGCCTAAGAGAGAACCTCACCTTTTTGAAATAGAGTCCAAAGCCAGAATGGGTGGCCAAAGTGGATATTAGAGTTCATGCTCTAAAAGTCTTGCCCTTTACCTGTAGTGGTGGGCTCCATCCAGAGTCTGTTTACAATTAATTTTGACCTGACTCTAATAAACTTTGCTTTTTGACATAATTTTGCTAGAGTTCTGGAAGGTATGGTGAGGGGGTAGCTTTAGAGGTCAGTTTGCTGATGGTGATAAAAAATGACAGTAAAAGAAGAAAGAAAATGTGACATATGGTCACAGCACTCCAAAGCATAGCCTCAGGGTTTTACTTTGCTTAGGTGGACACAACCAGATACACCTTTCTAGAGAGACCAGCCCTCGGATTTGACAGGTTAACTTGCGATTCATTCCCGGTGTCCCCTTTACTGGCTGGGAGGCATGGGATTAATTTCTCGGAGTCTCAGTTTCCTCATCCTTGCATAGATTTATGGGAAGATAAAATGAAATTTAATTTAAATGTGGTAATGGAGTAAAGCACATAGTAGGTGCTCAGTAAATATTGGTACCTTCCTATTCTCCCCACCCCCAACCCCGATTGCTGTTCAGTCTCCAATGAGAAAATCATGTTCATAATTCTGTCTCTGAGACATTGGAAAAAGGTTAAATTATATCTAATATATTCCATTTAAGAAGGTAGAGACTTGGGGCGCCTGGGTGGCTCAGATGGTTAAGCGTCTGCCTTCGGCTCAGGTCATGATCCCAGGGTCCGGGGATCGAGCCCCTCATCGGGCTCCCTGCTCGGCGGGAAGCCTGCTTCTCCTTGCTTGTGTTCCCTCTCTCGCTGTGTCTCTCTCTGTCAAATAAATAAAAAAATCTTTAAAAAAAAAAAAAAAAGAAGGTAGAGACTTGTGTCATGTATATTAAGGAAATTTTAGAATGACCAGAAATGTTTTGAAATGACATTCTGAAAGTTAGTAGGATATATACTTCATTCACAGGAGACCTCACTTGGATGGTTCCTTTTATTTCCTCAACACAGAGTGTGGTATTTCTGTACTTAAGTCTCCTGTGTTACCCTTTTTGAAATTAAAAATACTGCAGAAGTAATCCATTATTCAGTCTTTTCCCTTTTACAAATTGTTTTCCCTGTGATTACAAATACATGTTAATTGTCAACAGTTCTTTAGTTATTTTTTTGTGTGAACTTTTAGTTTGTCCTTATTTCAGTTTGTCAATATTTTTCTCTTGTTTCCTCTTAAATTTGTGATGCTGTGACATTCCTTTCATGACTCATTAGCTGCTAAGCTCAGAAGAGCCTTCTCCTCATGCTGATTGAACCACACATTTTGGTTTTATGTCTCTAGTGCCGGTAGTGATGCTTCAGCTTCTCTGTAGCAAGATATGGTCCCCATGCCAACCTGATGATTAATTTATTCCTGTGAATATTTTTGCCTGAATTTCTAATGAAAAGATGCAAGCTAACAGATGAGGGAGGCCTTAAATTGTTTCCACAAAAGAAAACTATTTCCTATTCTCTTTTTCTGCTTAATGGATTTACCACCGCAAACACAGATTTTCCTACTTCTGAATCTTTGTGGTAACCACTGTGTTATTTTAACTGACTGTTTTGGGAAGTTGCTAGGTTTGCAAACTGCTAGATCATACAAACATCTCCGCCATTTAGAACTGAAGGGAAAAAAAGAGACTTTTTTTTTTTTTTTTTTTTTAAGATTTTATTTATTTATTTGAGAGAGAGAATGAGATAGAGAGAGCATGAGAAGGGGGAGGGTCAGAGGGAGAAGCAGACCCCCTGCTGAGCAGGGAGCCTGATGCGGGACTCGATCCCGGGACTCTAGGATCATGACCTGAGCCGAAGGCAGTCGCTTAACCGACTGAGCCACCCAGGCGCCCGAGACTTTTTTTTTTAATGGTTAGTGGCACATTGAACGGGTCCTTCATAAAAATTAAAATTGTTTGGGAACTTTCTGACCTGCTCGGCATAAGGA